ACATGAAACTTGCCAATAGAAATATAAAAATAATAATTACTAAGAAAAACAGCCTAAGGTGTAAAATGTTGATTACAAAGTAAAAATATGAAGTAGAACTATGGATCTAATGTGTTTTTTATTTACTGACAATATAATTAAGTAATGTATGTTGGGAAAAATGATTTCGATGGAACCTCAAAAGATATAAGTTAAGACGTATTATGGGCCTTAATACTTTTCTTTGTGTTCTAAAGGTATTTCCTTTAGCTTATTCTGATGCTAACCTACCTTTTTCGTCTCACCCCTTTTTAATTCCAACCCTCATTTTTACCACCTTTCAACATAATTGTCTTTATTTTTTTATTTTCACCTAACTGTACGGAATCGTCAATACCCAAGCACAGATATTCTACCTGATTTTTCTAAGATTTGAAACTTCAAGATTTCAAATTCTAGAGCTAATTTATATAGGTTAGGAGAAGAGAATATTATTGTTTTAAACCCCAGTGAACCTCAGACTTATTGGAAAAAATAATTACCAATTCCAACTTCATTGAGTAACAGATTTATTCATACGTACAATGCATACTCGTATGTTTTCCAGATTCGCTGTTCCCTTCTCAATCAAAATATTATCATACTGCCTCTGACGATCAATGATATACGGTCAACGTTAGCCTTTTTTTGAACTACACTATCAAACCAAAATTTGTTATAATAGTTGCGTTATGGGAAGTATATGATCAATAATTGAAGTGTACGGACCCTTCTAAAACTACAGTGATACTATCCGATAATTTCTTTGGCATACTTGATGAATCCATTAATAATTTATTAAAAACAGAAAGTGGGATTATTTTGTAGTAATTACAATCCATCGTCGGTTTCTTTTAGTGAAACTAAACAAAAATGGATTATTTTTGGGTATTTTCTCCGATGTTTTAATCAACAGATAGATTTTAGAAAATTCACGTCTCGAGCCTTGATTAGTTCACATGTAATACTACCAATTCCTCTGCTTTATAATACTTTAAATTTCCGATGACATTATATGTAAATATGTTTTGCTTGAAACAGTTGCTATAATAAATTCAAAAACTTCAAAATAGTTATTAATTGGGATCATCAGTATAAAACTAAGTAGGTGAGTTAATTTTTTGTAGATGCCAAAATAATTATTTGTCTAGTTAATATTTTTGATGTCAAGATTTTTTAAATTTTAAGTTATCTTGTTCTGATTCTTTTCTTGAAATGGATTTTGTTCTAGTAACATTTCACGGCCTATTTTATATTGGATGTGTCAATGATTTATTTATTTTGTGAGGTTTATTGAATTGCTAAGACATTATTTTCTCTTTGACAGGAGAGTCTCTAAGATTTGTAAAAAGTAACAATTCACCTTAGAGGTATCGCGTGAGTGAGGTGAAGTCTTTGTTAACTATTGATGATCTCTATGCTAATTATACGATTACTGGTTATCACCTGATTTTCTATGACATCCAGGTCTACCATTTTTTAGGTAAATATGACAGAACTGACTGCTATTTTTCCATTGTCATTTCAACGGTTTCAGGTCTGCTCGTACTAAAACGGTTGGTGAAAGTTTCAAACTATTTTTTGCCTTATGGTCGTGACTCATCTTAAGGGAGATCTAGAACGTTGGAGGTACCAACTACTACAGTTCATAACTCACCGATGGGTGGCTCTGGCCACAATTTGGGCCGCGATGGTCGAATGAGTTAAGGCGCCTGCAAAAATTGTATGCTATGAGTTTAAATCGCGTTCGTGGGATTAAATAAAAAAATAAATAAGTGCAGTCCGTACTCGATTGCTTAGACCACTATGGCGAGGGTTCGATTCCCGTGTGGTGGAAACGGTAACGTCCCCATCCTGATATTCACAGGAAGGCGAGAGCGACTCCTGCGTCTAATAACATAGCTCATTTGGTCCTCCAGATTTATAGAGGTTGGGCACAGAGCTAATAACCCTATCCCGTAAAAAACAAAAAACATGATGTAGACGTTATGCAAAAGGTTGCCAACCATACTGGCTGGTGAAGAGGGAGTGGTTGTGATCGCATCCGGTTATTATAAACCACGTGCTCCCTGGATATCATCCATATAAGAAGAGAACCAAATGATTACAGCTTATCGCCTAGAACAGCCCCAATGCTGCCAGAAGACTAATGGCAGAAAAGAGTCAAGACGAGGTAAAAAAAAAAAAATCAAGGTCCAATGTTAAACAATTAGGCGTAAATTTTCAATTAAATATTCGATCGCCGGAGTATTTATGTTTACAAAACTTATGTTATAAATAGTTATAATTGCAACGAAGATGAAAAACTTTAAATAGTAGGGAAACATTATAGTTTACCCTCCTCCCGACAAATTTTTTAGCGACGTCCGTGATTAAAATATGTAGGTTTTTAGGAATAATGTTCTTATATATAGGAATATTTAGAATGAAATAGGATTTAGTTTCAACTTAATTTTTTTTTTCATTTTTCTTTTTTAACGGTAGTGCTTAACCGTTCCAAAACTCCTACATAAAAGTCATTGAACTTGAACTATTGCATCCTAATACTTGATACAATTATCGATTTCTGCTGCTTCGATTAATCATATGAATACTATTTTGATTACAGCAACTAATATTCACGTTCTTCCTGTTTACATTCTTAAGCGGTAGCGAAAGTATACTTTCGTTGCATTGAATGTATACTGATACATTATTTTTATTTTTCGTTATTAATAAACGTTATATACTTATTCTTTTCTAATTCACTGAAATATTTTTCATGATGACTAGCCCCTATGGCGACCTCATAAATCCGCTTCAATACGCCAGTACAGAACTCACCTTTTCCGCTGGATGAATGCGATCACAGCTACAATTGAAGATGTCTTCTTCCCACGCTGTACCAGGCTACGGCTGGCGAGGTCAATATGCAGCTGCTGCCTCTCCATTTCACCTACATTATCTCGTCATCATTTTGACGCAATACCTTCAATATTCCCTCTTTTCAAAATTTACGCTAGTTAAATTTATAATTTACTAATTAAGATGAACTGTAGCTTCACTGCGAAAATATTGAACATATTTTATCAAAATTGTACCAAATTATATATATATTATTTGATACTATCCTTATGGTATATCTGGTTCTTTTGATTTCTAAGTATAATCGTAATTTCGCTGACAACTTTATCCCCGATACAAGGAAACTTATGGCTCCCCCCCCCTTGTTCACGATCTTCCTCAGCTGTCACCCTATAACAAGGGTTGGCAGGCTTGACCTTACTCAAGCATCAAGACCCCTCACTTCCGTTGCTAAATATACATCTGCTCACCCTTCCACCATGTGGTTTTTGGGATCCTTTGGTTGAAAGGAACCTTTAATATACCGTTCGTAAAACTTACATCTTATTGCGGAACTTCACCTTCTCCTTCCCATTCCACTATGTAGAGGAGGAACTTTACTTTAAATCGTGTTTAAGATTTATAATCTCTCTGCAATAGCTTTCCATACCTAAAGAAATAATAAATATTTAGTTCTAGTTCCAAAAAAAAAATTCAATTGTTTTGCTTAATTATTTTGTTCTGATGCTGAAGTAATAAACATTCTCCTTTTTTTTATATTATTAATTTTAAGGTGCATCTTTTTCCTATTTACTTTAATATAACTATTAATCTTATTTTGGAAAGTTTTAGACTCCTTCTCCTCTCCATGCTATTTCGTTTTAATCCGTCATGCTTTCCCAATGTCTGCTGTGCAGATGTTACTCTCGTTCTATTTGCAGATATGTAAAATACAGATATATATATACCACCTACTGGGCTGCAAAAAGTGAAATATTTCAAGCTTTTCATTTGTAATTTAAGAAAAGAAAGTAACATTCTTCTGTTATCATTATGAATATAGTATTTTCGTTAGGTACAAGTTACGTTTAGGTATTATTTTATTTCTAAATGTCGACATAAAAAATATGAGGTTTGGTATCTAATATTTGAATAATTTCTTGTTCCTGGCATGTAACAATCCTAAAATGGCTAATTTAAAAATGATTAATTTGACCCAGTATTATTAAAAAGATTTTTTATATTTATTTAAATCCTAGATTTTCAACTAAGTGAATCGCATGCCTACTCTTTAGTTTTTTTTCTATTGTGGTTATTTTATTATTTTTTTAAATTGAAGTTAAGCTTTGGAATAGTGTTTCGAATTGATAATTTGTATTTTTATAAATGGTTTGTTTAAGTGGAACCGTTAACAAATCTTATCTCGGAGCCAATTGAGATTAACTGACAGTGGTGGCGCATTCTCGTGGGATAACCGAACATGTTCTGTCTTGGGTTGTGGATTAGGGGCTGTTGTTTCCAAACATTTCTTTGGTGATCTCGATTCCTTTCTGACCTAGTTATTTTAAAGTGATTATAAGTTATTAATTTTCGGTCGTTTATTTGTTTTGATTGTGAAATAGGATTGTAGTTAAAATTCGGTTGTATCTTATCGATTCGAAAAATCAAATTTTGTTTTTTTAATTGCAAGTGTTTATCATATCTCTATCTATTGATTTTATGAAATATCAGTTATATGGGTTACACTTTCTATCAAGGTATGAACTTTACATTATGTTTTATAAAAGCATTTTTATTGTGTTTTTATATCGGTGACTTTTGAAAGGCGTCTGAAAAGGTTATAGATCAAGGTTATAGTTCTGATGTATTTATCACATGTAGGTACATGGTTTGTTGATTACATGATATTAGTTACATTAAATGACAATTGTTCTGTTTTAATAAACAAACCATATAGTTGATAATACTTGTCCGTGTTTAGTAAACCAACTGTAGAAGTCTCCTTGCAGTAGATAATTATGAAAACTTTTATATTTTCTGAAAAATTATTTTTGAATCCAAAATCTGGTCAAGGTTTCATGTTAATATTTTAAAACTTCAATTTTCTCTTATGTTTTATTCTATTCCTGATTTGTATTATAATTATTTCTTTCTTTCAGGGATTGGACAAAACTAGCAACGCCTCGCTTAGTCCAATGAGGCCTCTTTCATCTGACTTGAATGGGCCTCGGATAGACAGTTTTCGTCTTTCAATGGCTAATATGGAAGGTAAGAACTTTTGCATAATGGATTTGTTGACCAAAGGCTTCTGTTAATTTTTTAAAGTAATTTGTTTACCTAGTACTTGTTTTATATGTTAAAAATATATTAAATATAAAGCAGTGTCAGGGCAGATATATAGGTTCTGTTCCGTCACTAATATAATCAGTTTTTATTTCACAAATAACATCTAATATATGCTGCTGTAATTATTTCAAATTATATTTTATTATTACTGTCTGAGTGTACCTAACCACTAATAGATTTATAATAGGTGATTTAAAAATTTCTTTCTTTACGGATATATCTGTTCTTTTCTTCTCAAATACTGTAAGTAGGGAGACAAATTTCGTATTTGCGCAGCAGGTTAAAAGAAAATCCGCTTAAAATTGAAAATTCTATTTTTCATTGATAATTCATTTTTGTTATAAAGTTGGTTAAGTGTAATTTATGGATTTAACAATATTTCCACATTTTCAAAATATACTTTGATATTATTATTAAGGTTAAATTATTGATAAGTTTTCTTTACTGTTTTTTTTTTATCTTTCAGACACACAAGATGTTGATTTAGATGCCATTTTGGGCGAACTATGTGCCTTAGAATCACAGTATGAAGAAGCTATTCAGACTTCTACCAAAACAAGTAAATAAAATTTGATTTAATATATTAAAAACTTGCAAGTGGAGGTTATAAGTAAGTTACTTATAATATCAATCATTACATCATTGGGAAAATACCTGCCTGGCTCTTCAAAAGAAGTTTTTTATGAACTGCCACAGTTCTTCCAGAATTCCAGTGTGAAAAGTTTATATATTTAAACCATATCATATTATTTATTTTGTTTATTTAAGAATTTTTCTTCATAAATTGAAGTTTCCCTTAGCCAAACTCCTCCCTTAGTTGGTTCCTCCACTTTTCCCTGTTCATTGCTTCCTCTTCCCTCATTCCTCGGCCCACCATTCTCTCAGCCACAAAATCTCTCCACCTGACACGAGGCCTTCCTCTCCTCTTGTCCTCTGCCTCACACTCAAATGCCGTTTTGGGAAGATCTTCTTTCTTCCATTATTTCTAGTATATTATTTTTAAATTCCGTCCTTTCTCTAATGGTCTCGTTTTTGATTCTTTGAATTCTTTATACTCTTAATGGTAGTATATTATTATAATTTTTAATTTTATCATGGAGAAATATACACATTTTGTTAACTAAAGATTTTGTGAATTATCTCATAATTAAATTATCTTATAGAATGCTCTTTGGGTGGGTGAAGCAAACAGTGAGTTGGTTTTTTTATGAACACAGTTGCAATATCAAGTACATTTTAAGTTATATAAGCCTACTTTAAATCTTTTTTCCTTCTCTAGCAGATATCTATTCATATTTTCGCTGTTTTATTCTGAATTTCCATGTTGTTGGCATCCTAGGCTATTACAGCAACTACGAGTTATTTCATAGTCAGCAGTCAATGTGATTTGTGAGTTGTGATAGCTACAAACAATAGGGGATAATAGTCTCTAAATACTGAGTTCAGAACCTTGTGGACTCAATGGTCATTTTGTTTTGTGGCAGTTCAGTAATCAGTCTCAATATTCCTACTCTAGGTTAAGGAAACCTTATGGGGCATATTCACCTTTAGTAAACTAGGAACCTGATCCTTGCTTGGGTTGAGGGTGACACTTTGTGGTTGACCGTGATGCATACCTTTTCAGTCAGCCACCCATTTGTACCATCACTATTTCCTTACCTAGTACATAGTCATCCAAAACTTTATTTTATTTTTGATATATTTTTTTTAACGTGGCTAGAAGCACCACGATCTTGAATGCCTATTGTGCGCATTGTATTTTTAATGTTAATGATATTTTATGGGTTGGTAGTGGTACACATTTTTTTAATATTTGAAGTTGTATAATGAAAAAAATAAATGTGATTTAGTATTTAAAAGAGGTGGGTTAGATTTTGCACTTAAATATGTGAAAAATATTCAGTTTTATCATTTACCATCACTTAGTTATACCGTTCAAATTTACCATGGAAATTAAATAATCTAATAAAGCTTTTTTTTTTTTAAAGTACCTTTATCGTAAAAGTACTGATTAAATAATTATACAACACTTTTATCATATGTAAATCTTTAATTGTTCTACTTAAAATTTTAATGTTTCATCTTAAAATTATGAGCTATTTTAATTTCTCCTTCCTTTATTTCTATTTCTTGATCATTAAGTTATCAATGATGTTTTATTTTTCTTCGTAGATGAAACCCGTAAAGACACTGGGAGAAGACTCAGTGGAAGTACAAGAACACACTCACCTGATAATGATTCAGCTTTTTCGGATTCAGTATCGCTTTTGTCGAGCGAGAGTTCCGCATCAAGTGGGAGAAATGATATTTCACAGGTATATATTAATATGACATTTTTACTTGTGGTAGTTGGATAAGACTATTGGAACATATATTTTTGAAAATGTATGTTAATTTTATACAGAACAGGAATACTGTTGATAAAAGTTTTAATTTCTTTCTTTCTATAGATTGAGAATATCGGAGCTGCATCAAAAGCAGAAAAAATTCGACTGGCAATGCAAAAAATCAAAGAAGCCTCTGTTAAAAAAATCTTCATCAAGGTATTCAACGATGATGGATCTGTTAAAAGCCTTCTTGTTGATGAAAGTAAGTTGCTGTTTATTAAATATAATATCGTTATTAAATTTATTAGAAATGGAATGGCCCAGTTAGTAAGACACTGCTTGGGTTTGAGTCTGACTCTTGTAGTCGATAATTTTTTATTTTGTTGTATTAACCGAGAATCGACCCTTGAGTTGGGATACGATCCTGCGGCACACCTAACCTCTTTAAAATGGCCAACCTTAATTGAGGAAAAATCGTTTGGTTAAGTGAAATGTTGGCAAAGCGCCCACTTTACTGGTGTGGTGAACCTATTTTGCATTTCACAGAAGTTTGCATTTAAGCTCCTATACTTTTAATGATAGGCGGTTCAAGCAAAAACCATATTAAGGAACATTACATGTACTATATTTTCATTATAGGACTCTACTTAATTGTAAATTTAAATAAAAAATTTAGTGACTGAAAACCTTCTTTTATAATTTATTAAAGAAATGGCAAGAACTTATTTGTTATTTATGGTATGATAGAACTAAAACTGAACTTTAATTTTGTTTCTGAATATTGTTTAATTATACTACTTCCCTAGATAGTTTCAGACCTCAACGTTATTTTCTTTTTTAGCATTGCGTCTTCAAATGATGTTTTTTTTTTTTAATTGTTTATTTTAAATGTCAGATATCTCAAAAATATCATTCTTTGAAATTCATAAAATTTCATCATTGGCAATTTTTTTTAAAAAATATGGTTACAACATGAAAAATCTTTAAATGAATAAATTTAATATTGCTGTTTTGAGTAGGAAATCTTTTTCTGGTAAAGGAAGAACATTGCATCAAGTTCTTTGAGACTAAAATATTGCATTTAATAATCAGCCTGAAAAATTTAGGAGCACATCCTAGATCTATGAGGCATATCAGTTGTTGAGCTTGACAATGATCTATGAAGCATGTAAGCTGGATGACAACGAATGAGTCCTTAAAAAAGTTATTAACACTGAACATACGGATAAAACTCCTGCGGGATAGATCTAAGCATATTATAAAGGACTTTGCTAAGACTTAAATTAGTATTATGTTTTTTAAGGCTCATCTTACAGATTTGGGTTTGGGTGATGTTTACTAGAATGTAATTGTGAGTTATCAATATATATTATTTGTTCATTTTAAGTATTTTTAAGAGGATAATGTTGTTAAGTCGTCATGTGTGTCCTAGTTCTTATAAAATAAATCAACATCATGTATTATCCTGGTGTCTATTAAGAAATGTTCTGAAACCACATATCTTATTAAATCACCTGTTATGTTTTCTATTAAATTACTAATTATTTTTACTTTTTAGGTATGACATGTGGCTATGTTACAAGGTTATTAGCTGAAAAGAACCACCAACCATTTGATCAGTACTCATCACTGGTGGAGTTTTTACCTGAACTTAATATGGGTAAGAAATCATTTTGTGTCTTTACTAAACTTCATGAATTTATTTTCATCCTTTAGTTCTGATTTAGTATTATTTTCATATTTTGCTGTCATAAATTTTAGTTAATTCAGGAAAAGATGTTAATTAAAACTATGGTCATGTTTACATATTTCTTTTATATTAACAGAGAGAGTGTACGAAGAACATGAAATTCTTGTAACGGAGCTTATGAGGTGGTCATATTGGTCTAAAAATCGTTTGCATTTCACTCGTCGACCTGAAAGGAATTTACTGTTCACGTCTCCTCAACTTGTAACTGGTATTCATGTTGAAATTTCACGATCTGCTTCTTCAGTGGATGTTTTAGAGGTAATTGTTTGAGAAATATAATAAAGCTATTTATTAACTTTTCCTCAGATGTTTTTTTTATTTCAAATTCTACATTTTTGTATGTTCCATTACTATTTTAAAACAAGTTGCTAAGGCATTGCAGTATTATTTTACTTAGTTTTTTTTTTCTTTTTTATGTATGGTTAAGCTTTGTTTGTTAGAACATTAACCTATTTTTTATCCAGATTATAGTTTATAATTATATAAATAAATATATTTTTTTATTCTCAGTCCCTGAATTGAATAATTGATAAACATTCGCAAATCTTAAACAGTTGTTGTTAGACAATATTTTAAAATACCGTAGTAATCACTTATCCCATTGGTAGGAAACCGCGCCCTTGAAGGTCTCTCTGACGTCTCATACTCAGAGACCACATGTGGCGACCAAACGTTTTTTCTCTATATTTATTAATTTAGTGCTATTATTAATATAATTAATATTTAATTATTTAAGTAATGAAAATATGGAAATAAATTGAATTAAGTGGATGAATGTAAGTATTTGGGTATGTGTAATTAGTGATAAATAAAAATAGCACCGGTAAAATATAAAGAAATATCGTGGCCTCCACTAACACTGCCTAACGTTAATGCGACCTCTAATGATAAAATTGTTCCGCAAACATGACCTCTCCAATTCCTGGAACTGTGAAAAGAAAATGTTCTTTACATTACTTAGACTTAAAGTTCTTGATATGAGATAGCTGCTGTGGTTACAATTTATAAATATACTGAATGGCCTCATTTCAAAGATGGACATCTGTAATTTTCAGAAAGTGGAGAAAAAGTCAATTTGTGTTACTTAGATTCAAACTTTTTATTTTAAGTACGTTCAAGCTGATTTATTAAAAATAATTGTTAGAATTTGTTTAAATTAAAGCTATGACTAAATTTGGCTTTTTCTCAACTTTTTAAAACTGACAGATGTCAGTCTTTGATATGAAGCCACTTTACTATAAGCCTAAAGAAACAAAATATTTTGTTTAAACGTCTCCAATATATAGTTTCCATAAACTTTCAGTATTGTATAGATGTTTTTTTTTGTTTATGATTTAGAAAAAGAAGATGAATTCATATCATTAAAAAAACAAAACAAATCCTACACAACTTTTCAATAATTGACAATAAAATTCCTCATTTTATAATTTCACTTCTTAAAACAGATTATTTTACCTTCTTTTCTCATTATCTCAAAAATTAATGACTTAGATCATGTATTCTTTTAAGAAAATCAAAATTAATGAGTTTTTGGAATACTATCTTTTCTCTGCTGAAGACTATTGTTGATTATGACCTGAAATATGGTTTAGATTGTCTATTGTTAAAATTAAATAAATCAACTTAGTAGAATTAATGATATTCACTTGATATTTGTTAATTCTCTATTTATATTTTCTCTAATTAATGATGAATTTATTTAGGAATTCTTTTCCGGAGCTGGAGTTCCTTCCGTGGAAGGTCCTTTGTATATTAAGTCTGACTCCAAAAAAGGCTGGAAGAGGTACCACTGTATTCTCCGTTCCTCGGGCCTATACTATTGGCCTAAAGAGAAGGCTAAATCATCCAGTAAAGACTTAGTGTGCCTAGCAACATTTGATGTCAATCATGTATGTATTTTTTTCCCTATGATAATTTTTTAAATAATAAATTGTCTCTCTTCTTCCAATTTTCTACCTATAAGTTGCGTTGTTACGTTCTCATTATTGATCTTAAGTCATTCTCATGAAGTATTTAATAAAATATATTAAATATCATGGTTGTATTTTTATATTATTAGCTAGTTTGTGTTTTATTCAATTCAATTAAAAGGTTCCGAAGAAATATTTTAGCCCTATAAGTGCTAGGTTGTTTATTTACAGAAGGTATTCAAATATTGCTGGTGTCATATTTACTTTCTCTGCTAATTTATTAATTCTGATTACTTAAGAATTTATTTTGAATAATTATTTGATAATTTAAAAAAATTAATGTCTACAGTTTAAATTAAAAAAAATTAATGTCTACAGTTTAAATTAAAAAAAATTAATGTCTACAGTTTAAATTGGTAAATCTGGTTTTGTTTTGTGTGTATTTGAAGATATTAAAGTAAACATAAAAAATATTTTATATTTATATAAATTAGGCCAATTATCACCAAACATTTTATTGATACGTGATTTAATTCGACATTTCGACCATACTAAGGGTCATTTTCAAGTCCTTGATGAGTCATCCGTTATATATTCATCATTAATGTCGCAAATAATATGTTCAGTGAACATTAAATTGTCATGTTATTTAGGGCTTTCACTTACGTCATTTCTGGAGGTAATGTTTGGTGATAATTGGCCTAATTTATATAAATATAAAACCTCAAGACACCAAAATTAGGATAAATGAACAGAAGAAATAAAAAATATTTGTTACATTTTATTGTGGCATATAATTGACAAGTTCAGATAAGCATGTTATAGCGTGTAACAAAATACATTTTATTTCAATATACAACTAGACATGTATTCATTGGCTTAACTTTGGTTCTAAAAAAACAGATCTTTCGCAATGTAATAAATAGCAAGTTTTTCTTTTTTTATGACAGTAAAATAAGAATAAAAATAGTTTCAATTGGATATACACATTGAAAACATCAATTGGAAAAAACATTTATAAAAAATAATTCCATTCAAGCTTTGGAAAGTCGCTTCGGCTCCTTGCGCACCTTGAAAAAATAGAATAAAATTTGTCATAAAAGCATTAAAATAACTATTATTATTCATTTCAATTTTCTAAAAGTAATCACCGTCACTAATTATGCTTTGATTTATAAATCAATTTACTCAGTAACAAAAGATTAGTATAAAGCGAAACTTCATTTTCGCTCCATTGTTGTATATGGATATTGCACAAACATATTTAAAATCATTAATAAGTTTAAGTAATGATTTCGACTTTATGTTGGTGTAGGTTTTTTTGTTTTGTTTTTCTGATTTCGATGTTAAAACTGAAATGTTCAAGGCTATCGAGAAAGATGTTTGAAAACATTTTAAAAATAAATTTATCTCTATTTGATGCTCTGATCTTCAGAAATAGAACTCCTCTCATCTGAACCTAAATCTGTGTTTATGAATGGAGGTCTATTTCTAATCGAGCCTCTTGATATAGTTCCAGGCATTTGGCTCTCTGCCATACAATACATACAAAAATATGTTTTCGATATTAATTTTATTTCTTAAAATAACTTACTACTGACTGATAAGTCCAGTGCTAAAAAAAATTGTTTTAGTAAACTTATTTTTAACATCGGAAATTTGTTTATTTATTTGTTTGTTTGATTTTGAGATCATATACATTGAGGATATAAACAATTGTCAGAAATTCGATATGATTTGTTTTTACAAAATTTGAAATGACTGTTAATTAATACGGTAGGCATTGTCTCTAATTTAATTTGAACATGAACCATAATTTTTTGTAATTACATTATATTAATATATTTCTTGATAATTAATAATCAAATTCATTTTTTTAATAGTTTTATTTATCTGAATAAATAATGGCTGTTCCTAACTTAATTTACCATACCAATTTTAAACAAAAGATAACTAATAAAAATACTTTTGACATTTCTCCTTATTATTGTCCTCACTAATTATTCATGAGATGTCAAGATAATATTGAAACATATATTTACCAATATATATGGAATATATTGTAAATTATAATTAGGTAAATTACCTGTTTTATAAGATCCCTGAATATAGAAGATAGAGAGATATCAGGAGTCCTATTAAAATCAGGAATGTTGTCATGAGACTCCTTGTTTCATTGAGACCTTTCGTACTCGCTGCCATATTGCTTCCAATAACTGTAATCAAAATTTACAAATCAACAATACTTAAAGTATTTTTAAAAATTAATCACGTTATTATAATTGTCTGGCAAAAGTAATTCTTTGTCAACATATTTATTATCTTGTTTTCCTCGGATAAAAGTTTGGCAGAGCTCTTGTTATGACTATATTTCAAATTTATCATGAATCTTTTAGTTTCGTTTATATAGAACTATTTTTAGTTACAGATCATTTCATCCTATTTTTCATAATTCCTCTACATATCTTTAAACTTTTCATTATTACTTAAAGTTTATTTTTCCTGATAAGAATACTTAGTTAATAGTTTTTTTTTTTTAAACTTTTAAAAACTATGGGGAAAAAATTAATAATCATAAGATTTTTATCTTACAGTTACTATTTTTTTTGTTTTGTCTTTTTAAATGATTTTATTCACTTTCTTGTTGATGTTTTCTGTTTGAAAAATTGTAACTATGTATAACGTTGTTGTCAACTTGTTCGCGAGTGTTATTTGTGACATTCTTCAAAATTAATATTTATTAAAGAAATTGATAATTAAATGAATCAGAATGAAGTACATACATTCTTCCTTCTGTTAGATTTATTATTGTATTAGTTACCTTACAATGCACGACTACCTGGCTCTCGACCGTGAGACTGATTCACTACTGACCTGTCAATCCTCTGATCCCTCTATTTCAGCCTAAGCGACTGGCCTCTCCCCCTCTGGAGCCTATATTTAGCCATCCCCCCTCTGAACCTTGAGGGTGGCTTTATCCAAAAGTGGGGGACAGTTTTCCATAAACTATTTTTTTGTTTATACATTTAAAATTATAATATTAAAATAAGCCTGCTAGGATTGAACAGTTTATAAGTATATCATTATTAAATGTTGATTATTAAGCTATGCAAACAGTAGCAATTCAATTGATAAATATCATCCTTGATGGATGGAAAACTATATAACACTTACTCTTGGGTATATTTTGTTTGACATAGTTGATAAAATATATTGTTTCTTGATTATAATTAAATAGCAACATTTTTAATTTGAATTTTAAAGAATACTAAAGGGGCATGATACAATAATAGAAGTATGATTGACACGATAGAAAACAAAGGCTATTTCAGGACAGATGTTTTAGCTTTTAGCCTAAGATTGAGGGGTGGCTAATTAGTGGATATTTATCTTGGAAATGTTCCAGCGTTCTGCTGCTTGTCATTGTACTCTGCCATGCGGCAAACAAACATTCATTTATTTCCATTTCTATAACAATAAATTTATATTTTTATATATTATATCTTAACTTTATGAAGATGAAATATTTTACTTGTATTAAAATGCATAATGAGCATTAAGGATAACTTGTAGTGAATCACTGGATAATATTTAAAAGGAAAGAATAACGTTTAACTTGGTCTCATGAAATAGATTGAAATTAATTAAATAGATAATAATTTGAATTTTTTTATTTAGTGATGGGATGGTGTGAAAAGGCATTTTTTTTTTTTTTGGTACAGTTTTCTCTGAAGTTATAAACACATATTGTCGGTCCTGACATTCTTTTTAATTTTGGTCCTTGTGCTCCTTTAGTTTCAGATAATACTTAAAAATAATGATACAGATGTTCTGAGCATATGTTAAAAATTCTAATTAATTTTGCTTTGTAGTTTTGGAAAATATTTAAGGATAGTTAAATAATAAGAGAATATTTAAGTAATAACAAAAAGATATCTTTTGGAGTGTAGTTTCTCTATGGTTACCTGGTCAAATTTTGATCATGAATTTAATTCTTAAAGTTTGGACTTATATACTTTTTATAAATTGTACAGTAAGGAATAGCTAGTTGTTCCATTGGAAACAGTCTTAAAATCTTTCAATAAAGTTTAGAGAAAATAATTTTTAAGTTTACATATTTTTTCGAAAAAATAAATTTTGCTTGCACGTCTATCTCAGTAGCTCTAATTTACTTAATTCAAATATTTTTCAAGACTTTTCATATCTGTAGTCCTGTTTTTAATATGTATATATCTATATCTTCAAGATACTTTTCATTTTGTGCCTAGTGCTCCTTATCACACCTGTAATTTTTTAATCATAATATTTTTTAGTGGTTACAGGTTTAAACTTCTTAATTATTTACTAATTAGTGATCCTATGATTATGTAGGATGGAAGAGGTCATAAGTGTAGACATTTCACGATTAATTTTTAACGATGAATTTTAAAAATATTTATAATTTATTGAATGCTCTACATTGTTCTCTGTGAATTAATAAATAATTTACTATATAATTTTTACTTTTTCTCAGGTGTATTACGGAGTGGGATGGAAGAAACGATTCAAAGCACCCACAGATTATTGTTTTGGCTTAAAGCATCCTTCTCTGCAAGAACCTCCTAAATCAGGGAAGTACATAAGGTGCCTTTGTGCAGAAGATCAAGTTTCCCTTCATCGCTGGGTTACTGCCATCAGAGTAGCTAAGGTACTAATTCATTGCATACATATATTTTTATCTACTATCATTATTGTTTGTTTAATTTATTATAGTGTTTTAGGTGAAAATAAATTCATTTGTAATTCTTATTCTTTTTTTTTCTTTTATTTACAGTTTGGTCGTCAATTATTAGATAATTATCGTGAAATAATAGATATCCCTCCTCCACCTATTCCTGCTTCAGTCTTAAGCAGTGCTGGATCTGATTCAGGATCTAGTTCTGGTGTCGATGCAGGGTTTGAGGCTGAAACTTTTCCTTCAGGTAAAAACCTCGAGAAGTTCATAATAAAAATTTTAAATATTATTTTTTCTTGATTAAAAATAATATAAACTGATTCAATTATTTAGGAACCATTAAACGTAAGCCAGCTAAAATCCCTCTAACATCTACGACCCGGGCCCTCAAATCGAATGCTATCGGTGAAGATGAGTTCTATGACCTGCCACCTCCTCCTCCAGAACTCCTTACAGACTGCCCGACTCCCTCTGAGATAGGAACAGTAGAAACTGATCCTGCTTTCTTACAGGACCTTCATAGGGTTGTAAGGTAATATAATAAGTTTTATCATAAAGTAATATAATTTATTTCTATTGAATACTTGCTGATTTATTATTTTTATAAACTTTTTATTTCTCATGTTGCAAATAAATGTATTCTAATTTTTAGGTCAAAATGGCAAGTAGCTCAGAAATGTAAACTTGAATCTCTTAGCCCTCATCAAGTTCTTGGATTTAGGTTAGTATTTTTAAAATTTTTATTGTTATTTTATAGAATAAAACGATTCCTATATGAATAAATATTTTGTATACAGTGAAAAATGTAATAAAAGATAGATCATTACATAACAATAATGGAAATACAATTTAAAATACTTGCAAATAGTACATACATTGAATATTCAGCCTAAAAATTGTTCAGAATCCTTACTAAAAAAGCAGTTGATTGAAAAATTAAAACATTTAATTCATATCATTTGATCAACATATAAACTACAGATTATTTTAATACAATATTGGTAGTTTGTTTTAAAATTGTTTCACCTAAGTTATTGTTATATAATTGCTTATGATGTGATACTTGGGTCTCCAAACTATAGTCTACTTGGGCGGACTTAGCCCATGAAACTTTCCTCAATAATATGATAAAATTGTTTATAAAGTTTGAAATTTAATAAATCGCTCAAACTAACGTTAATACAACTTTTATTTAATTAGTTTTTTTAATTTTGACACCTTATTTTGCAAGTTTCGTTCACAGAAATATATCTCAAGTTTTTTATAAAATTGGTTACAAATTTTCATTTATTGACTGAGGTTTTTTACAATAAAACTTAACCAAATTACTAAGTTGTGGTACTAATATGATGTGAAATTGCACATTCTTTGATTTTTTAATAAGTAACTTTAATGTATCATTCAGAATTTTTGTGAAAACCAAAAAAATATCCTAAAAAGCAAAGTTTTCTGTCCACCATAAGTTCTCCTGAGATTGTGCATGTTATCTCAACATAACTATGGCACATTTGTTTTTTAAATGTATAAATCTCAATATACACAAGATAAACAAATGAAAACTTCTACCATATTTTTTGTAACATTTGTCCCTTCAACTATGTGGCCTAATATTTTCGAAATGAGGGGCTTGGGAACGGTAGATAAGGTTCATTTTACTTATAATAACGTAGAGTTCTGTAATTCAAATTGAAACCTTCTCTTGCTAAGAGTGCCCTTTTTATGCAGTCCCTGCATTTAGGTTAGGTTTTGAGATAATAAATTTCTTGAGAATAAAATTCCTTGATAAACTAAAAAATGTGTTGTTTTGGTTTTTATAAATCAATTACAAAAATTTCCTATATAAAATATTATTATTACTAGAAATGAATAAAAAATCACTGATGTTTTTATGACATCGATTTTTGACTTTCAATTGTTTTTAACATTGATATTTTTGTTGTCATAAGACTTGGCCTACAATCTAAAATGTTTGGAGACCTTTGATGTAATGTGTTTAAGAATATGATGAAATACATGCTTTCATATCATCGGATGCAATCAATGCTTAGAACCTTATTCATATGTTTGTCTCTGAACAGTAATCTTAATATCAATAATCAGTGTATTAATGTTTATACATTTTCTATTAGTTGGCCTGTTATAATTATTAATCCACTTTAAATTCCCAGGATTTCCTTGCAATCATTCAAAATTATTTTGTTTATTATCATGCCATGTATTTTCATATTTTTTTTTTTACAATAATTTATTTTCTATTTGGAAATTTACAGGTATTATGATTCAAAAGTGGAAACAACTCAACAGTGGGTCGAAGACCATTATGGCGGAAGCCAAGGTATGAAAAAAATCCCCCCTCCTCCTCCACCTAGAGCAGTGACAACAGTACTTACGTCGGTACCAAGGAGATAATTTGACTGCGTTCATTAGCTATCTATACTGTATTTTTGCGTACAGCTATTGTAGCATCTCAAGAGTCACTCCCTCTCTGCGAAAAGAGAGGGTTAGTCAGGAATAGCAGTGCTACGAGAATGAAGGCAGTCGTCTTGGGATATCTTCATAGTGCCTGTTATAATATAAGCAGTTAGCATATTCAAGAAACGTGGTGAAACTAGCTATCCGTTAATCATTACAGTAATATTTCATAAAATTTAATGTAACAAATGTTTCTGTCATGGATTATATTATTAGCTGATATAATTTTAATGTATAAATTCAGTCAGAGAAAAAATATAGCTTAGAGAATCCTTTATGATGGTGCATTTCCATGGAATAGAGTTTCCTGCTTTCTTGAATAAAATTATTACTTTTGATCTCTTAAACCATTTTTTTTTTTTAATTATTTATTGTTGTAGTATGTATTAAATTTTTTTTTCAAAAAGTATCTAATAGCTAATATCTTAGCATTTGTATGTTATATTATTGACAGGTATGTCTGAAATGCTGTAATCTCATTGAAACTGAGATCTAATTTATTATTTGTGTATTAACACTAAAAATTCTAACACCCTAGAAATGACTGTCTGTGAGATGAATTGTGATTGTAGGTAGTTTTTCCATATTTTTATAAACTGTGGAAACACCTGAAGTAATCAGCTCTGTTAATTTTCTTCACCTTCAATATGGGGTTTTTTGTTTCTTATCCATAATGTGAAACATTTTTGAACTTTAAGTTAGCTGTTAGATGATTATGGGCAAAAAACCTCTTTTGAAGTTGTTATGTCATTGTTACCAAAAATGTATATATATTATAAAATGTTAATGATCGAAAGAAGCTTTACATTTTGTAAATATGTCTTAAAGATTCAGCTTCTGGCTAATCCATCCGTTACAATTATTAGTTATTTATTCATTCACTTTTTTTTTTTTTTTCTTTGTCAGATATGCCATTGCCTTGGACAAAAAATCACGATTACTTAGTTCTTTCTTTTCTTTTTTTTTTTTTTTTTTTTTTGTATTAAACTATTACTGAATTTACATGTCAATATAACTAAAACCTAATAGAAATCTATAGTAAATTAATACAATTTTACTTTTTAAATGCATAAAAATAAATGTTTTGGTAACAATGTCCAAGGTCTGGTTATGAAAATAGTGTTATTAAAGTCTGTACTTGTGTATTTATATTTCGAATGAGCCTTGAACAGAGATATGTTTTCTGATCCTAATTGTACATGTATAATAGTGGACTTATAGTAGTAAACAATATATTTATGTTACATTTTTTATTGCATTAATTAATATAATTGAATGAGTGGGAATTTCAGCGTTCCCTCAATTTTTATACTGTTTGTATATTAAATCATTAAGTGTGGTGGCATTTGTATAAAATTTTATATTCATTTCTTTGAAACTGGTTGTACAAATATTGTTTAATTTTTCCTTCTTTACATTATTGCTTCTTATTGTTGACTATTTGTGAATCCATGTTGTTATTTGCATATGTACAAAGCATAATAAAAGAAAAACATATTTGTTTGTATATTTCAACTACTTACTAATGTTTATTTGTAAAGCCATGAATAAATGTTATGACGTTACTGTAATTTTTTTCTCAGTTGAAATGAAATAAAATAGTTTTATTTTTAATATATTTAAGATACCTTTTGATGATATTAAATATTTCAGAAAAATCCTGGCATTTTCCAGTGCTATTTATATTACTTCTAACATTGGCTGCAACTAAGTTTAAAGGCAAAATATTCATTTTCCTAAGTACATTATTGGAAACATTAACATAATGTGTTTATATGCTTCAGACTAATACTATCAATAATTAACTATTAAATAAATTAAGTGGGAGACCCCACTGTAATCTTCAATCAGTTTTGAAACTTTCTCCTTAGACCAAAGGTTATCAAAAGAGCCATAAAACTTAAGAAAAAACTGTAAACAGCCGAACCAACCACTCGTTAATTGGAGGCAGACTGAGACATGTCTCACCTCTAGGCGCAGACTGACATCCTTTAGACAGATTGGTCAACATGTCTACCTAGACAAACAGACATGTCTCAGAAACCAAAATCGCGCAACATGTCTACTAGTGTGAACTAGGTTTCAGTAATGATTTAGAGTTTACAAACTCAAGTTTATTTTAAAAATTAAGAACAATAATTTAACAAAAAATGAAAAATTAATTGCTCTACTTTGGACTTCACTATGCTTATAGGTTAACACTCCCAACAAAGCTCTGAAAATGTTTGTCCTGATGCTGTACAGTTTTATCCAACACTTTTTTGTTTTTGGTTGTCACTAGAATGCTGGAACTTTTCTGCCTATGATTAACTTCCTATACTCTAGTTCTGAATCCCATACCAAATTCATGTATATTATCACTCTAGCTATAATGTATATCTCTTTTTCCAATAAACCTTGATCTGCCCATTGAATCTCTTAAATGATAGTTGTCAGATTTTAATCCATCATTTTTGTAAAGAAATAATATACAGATAAATTACATCTTCTGACAGATAAATCACAGTAGAAAACCATTTAGGCCAAAATCTGAAGCATGTATGGCAGAGGGTGGGACCCTTATGACAGGCAGGCAAGAAGTACTTTAGTGCTGGAGGAATCGATTTAAAATGCTATTAACTGAGACAGTAGTAACCCATGGCTACCTATTGTAGGTGATTTTGTGGAAATCACTTGAATCCCCTGGATGAGGAAGCACTATATAAGGTTAAGAACAATTAATCTCCTGGGATGAATGAAATTCCTGCAGAACTACTGAAGCATGGAGGCTTGTTTTGTTCATTTACACCACATATGGACAGGAGAGAGACTCCCATAGGAGTGGAAAAAGACGGTCATCTGTCCAATACACAAAAAGGGTGACACCTTGTATGAGATAACTCTTACCATGTGTTTATAAGGTTTTCTCTATAATCCTCTTTAATAGAATGATTCCATATGCTGAAAGAGAAATTGGAAACTATCAGTATGGCTTTTGCAGAGGTCAATCAAGTATCGATCAGATATTTACCTTTCCTATCCTTCTAGAAAATATGAAGGAATACAGATTGCTTACACACCACATATTTGTGGATTTTAAACAAGCATATGACTCTGCCAATCGATCAGAAATATATTAAACGTTGATAAAAATAAATTTTCCTTCAAAACAGTGCACCTCACAAGGATAACGATGGATGGTAATATTTCGTTCATAAGGATTTTTGGAGGGATGTTTGCCTGAATTCTCTGTAGACATGGGGGTAAGAGAGGGAGATGGATTGGCTTTCTTGATTCTAAATCTGGGACTCCAGAAGGCCATAAGAGATACTGAGATCCAGACATCTGGTACTTTAATAAACTACATCATACAACTCCTCGGATACGCTGATGAAATCAATATCACTAGGAAGATCATTAGATCATTGTTAAGGATGCATTTATAGCAATAAAGAATGCTGCCGCTAAAATGGGTCTGCTGGTAAACTTCAGTAAAACCAAATACCTTAATGCGAATCCCACAATGTCGAGTCAGATAACAAATATATTAATAGAAGGGCAGGTAATTGATAAGAATTTCAGATAGTGAGGCTACCTCGGTTGTAGTACTTGTCCTATGCAAACATACCCTAGTATGCACATGATGCTGCCATTTTTATGCATGTATCCTTCCATGTACCTCCTTCAGGGCGGCATTCTATAGAAGATAGCATAAACATGTGTAATGTGTAAGTAAATGAAAAGAAGTATAATGAAGATATCAGGAAGGTATAATGAATTAGACAGGAATATCATCAGGTTCAGTATAGTTACTGTCTGATTTCATTATGTTAGTATGTGATGGGAATGAAGGAAAAATAAATGCCCTAGTAGAAAGGAGGGTATAGATGAGGTAGATAAACCAAATAAAAAGTTGAGTTTGAATCAACAGGTGATGCTGATAAGACTAATGGAGGAGGAGAACTAAAAGGTTCTCATTGGGAAGGGGTAACCATTTCGATTTTTATTTCTCTCTCACATCGTTTTTCGGCTATACGGGGTTTTAACCGAGACAGGAGAGGGCGGGAAATTAATACGGTACTTCAAATTCACCCTCCCCACCCCCGTGGTTCAACGTGATTCGAACTCATAATCTTTAGTTTATTAGGTTGTCGGGCAAGGCGTATTTCACACACTGTGGGAAATACAATTGTGATTACCAGATATTTCCTGGTAACTTTCTAGGTATTATTACATTATAAGCTAGTAAAACTAACCTTGTTCACGAATGGCTGCTGGTTACGTCATCAATTACATATATTGTATGAAGTTTTACATGAAGTTTGTTGGTGTTATTAAAACCTCGATGGATAGAAAACGGTGAAACTTGATGGGAGTAGGTCTGGTGGATTCAAATCTTTTACATAACTTTATTGAAAACTATAACTGTGAGTATTGATTGTGTTATCAAAATTGCATTATCTTAACTTGATTAAACTGATTTGACTGTAATTATTATTACACCTAACAATTTATGTTTTCCTTTTATTGGTTAATCAACTACTTATTTGTTTCTTTCTTACATCTATAATAGTTCAATATACGCTTATGAGGCAGGTAATTCAAATTTCATTGCAAATAAGCAGTTTTCTACTCTTTGGTATTGCTTGGAATTAACTATATCTGGTGCTATAGCATCTTCAAATTCCTGCATTTTTACTAATGGCTTCATCATTTCTTTTGCTGAGTTTCTGTAACATTCAAAACAAATTATTCAATGTTGACATTTTTTTAAATACTCTAATGTATAAATATTGCCTTATCAAGAAGCTGCAGAAACTAATTAGTTGTTTAATTTAGAATTGTCCAATCTTTTCACCATATAAAGCATCATCATTTCACTATTGAACTCTGGTTGATTGTTCAAAATAGAGATTTTGCCTGCAGTATAATGATAAGAGTACCATAAATTAATTCACTAAATCATATCACCCCTATCCCTAAATTGTTCCTTAATGATAAACAATTCTATGTTACCTTAGTATAAAAAACATCCTTATTGAGGCTATACCTAATATTTGTATTGGCATTGGTTTCATTAGCCCTTTTTCAATGAGTTGTTACACACAAATGATAATTATCAGCCTTTAATAATATGAATTCATTATCATTACTATGTACATATGTATTACATTATCATTACTAAGTAATGTGTGATATTTGGTTATGAATGGTGATGTTTCATTATAAAAATGTCTCACTATAAATATACATAGCTTTTTAAAAAAGTTATGAAGACAGATGAAAATCACATACTGTTTTCTAAATACTGCAAAATGAGGAATTTTTCAACTCCTCGCTCGAGAAAGGTAAACAAAAAACAGAACAGATCCTTTTTAGTTGATGTCAGGGATTAACTGACAGTTCAGTCACCTTCTGCTTTTGAATACACTCAGGCACTCACACTATCAATTTTAAGTATGATAATGAGATCTTGGCCCACGTACCAGTGTGGAATGACACTTGTACAATAGTACCATTTATTAATATTGTTAAATGCAAAATATCCATTCTTCCAAAACGCTGTTCCTCATATATATTTATATTATTGTGGTGCTGGGTACTTTTTGCTACTAATAAATGGCTTGTACCTGGTAGTACCCAGACACAGATAATGTTATAAAAGTGGGTTTTCTGGAGACTTAGTAATTCACAACATAAAACTGGCTATTTCTTTTTCTTTTTTTTTAGTCAATTAAAATTGTTATTACTTTTGCTTCATAAAGAATTTTAATTGCAAGGCTTGTAATTTGCCACTTGTAATTGTAAAAATTTGCCGCAAAAGTAAATTGTTAGGATTGAATTTGAGCTGGCTTTTCTTTATAAAGTATCACTAGCACTGATAATGATCATTGTAGAAATTGAAATGGTCAACCATCAGTAATATTATTTGAAGAGAAGAATAGTTGGGATGGTCAGTCAAAAAAGAAGGCAAAAATAAATGATAATATTTATTTTTACATATGCCGACGTTTCGACCTGAAGTTCAGGGCTAAGAAAATAACCAGATAACAAAGTATGAGAAACATAAGTAGTGATGTTAAAAAAAAAAATGATAATAAAAAAAAAAAAAAAAAAAAAAATATGAAACGTCGGTATATGTAAAAATAAATATTATCATTTATTTTTGACTGACCACCCCAACTATTCTTCTCTTCATTATCCACGACAGTCAACGATTTACCAATTAGTAATATTATTTATATTATTGTTATACAGAAATCCAGATAGAATGTTTAATAGGTCTATGAATTAATGTACAATTATAGCAATTTAGGTAGTCTTTTTTATTTTTTTTTACCTTATTTCTGAAATAGGATCATCCAGAAATAAGCATCCAGCTTCTATAACTTTAGTTCTTATTTCATGGTAATTAGGATTTTTCATTAGTTGTGCAGTTCCGATCCTACTAACTAATATTTTATATATTCGAAGTGCACTTTTGCGTACAAGCTGGTGTTTGTGCCTGAAATAAAAATAATTTATATTTTATATTTCATTTTGCAATATCTTTATTACTGTTAACATTTTTATCTATAACACAACAAATTAAATAGCATATCAATTTGCTATTCATGGTTTTTCCATTTTCTGTTTTTATAAGCCTATTATTAATATTACAGTTGTCAGGATCTTAAATTTTATAATTAAATATTAATTAATATAATGTCTAAATTTGTTATTAAATGCTTGGGTATTCATGATTGCTACCGATACAAAATGGAGTTTAACATTAATAATCTCATGTTATCCTATTAGG